CGCGAATCAACTGAGCTGTTGTCCTGAATCCTTCCAAAACGCAATTTCTGGTACGCTGATCATGGGACTCCGTGAAACCCTTGCAAGTTGTAGAAACGAATGTGCGCGGCGTTAAGGCGAGAGCCATATGTTGAAAAGGAACCGCTTCAATCCGTGAAGACCTTGCAAATGTTGAAAACGAATGTACGCGGCGCTGAGGCGAGAGCCACATTTTGAAAACGGGCCGCCCTCAATATGTGAAGTGTTTATACTTGTTTCAGCTTCAGGGTCGTAAGCGGTGAGGAAGTCTCACGCGAAACGCCTGGCCCGCCCTACAGGGAGAAGTTCTTGATAAGGAATTGGAAAGGAGGAGGAGGAGGAGGAGAGGACTCTTGGGGGTTCTGCGGTCTCTTGGGGGGGAGGGCTTCTGGAGGCTTCCTGGGCGTCTCTTGAGGCCTCCTGTGGGCCTCTCCTGGGGTCTCTTGGGGTCGTCATGGGTCGGACACGTCCTGGGCGTCTGGCCTGAGGCCCCGGGAGCACACAGGAATTCTGGCACATCAGTGATCTGGATTTGTACCGACTTGTTGGAATCTTAGAAATTCTATACGACATGCAATGCAGCTGTGTGAGCTTTGAAGCACACCACTACGCGCTCAAGTCACGGCGGATATATCTATATATATATATATATATATATACATATAACGGCGCACCGGGTCCGGGGGCCCGGGGCCCGGACCCCGACCACAAATGTGGGCCCCGGGGGGCCCGGAGGCTCGTCGGACCGCCGGACGCCGTCCAAGATCGTTCGCAAGCGGCTTCGGAACGCGCTCCGATGGCTCCAGATGCCTTCCAAGACGCCTGTCATGACACCAAGAAGGTCCCAGAAGCCTCCAAGACGCTCCGAGAGGCAGCCCAAGAGAGGCCCAAGAAGCACAAATCGTGCCAACCGTAGCCATTTTGGCTCAAGGGCCGTTTGGGCTTAAGGCATTTTGGCTCAAGGGCCGTTTGGGCTTAGGCGAAGTGTGATACATCTTGTTAAAGTCAAATGGGTTTGGCACTCAGCGACATGCTGCGCAGTCGTAGGGGAAACGCGGCTGCAGCCTTGGCTGCAATCTTTGTGCTTTCGGCAGCGTGGGGCAGGTGCCCGACATCGAGCTCGAAGAGCATGATTATGTCAATTGGTCTTCGCATTGGCTCTTCAGTTGGTCGAAGTAGTTCGCAGCGGTGCTGGAAGGCCAGCAACTTGTGCGAAAACATGAAGGACTATATCGATCGGAACGGCCTGACTCACATTTTCGTTGGAACTTCAAGTAAAACTGGTGGTTCGACAACCAAGCATTTTTTTTCACCTGGTCCATGTGTCGGACTTGAGTGCGACCAGCATTTTCTTAAAGTGCTGAGCGCACGTTGCCAGTGGGCCATAACCGTCTCTCACATGTGGAGGGGTCTCAAGCCTCTTCTGAATGAGTCCTGCTCACGGAAGACGCTTTTCTTGCTTCCGGTGCGTGAGGAAGTGTCGTGGATGAGGTCTGCGCTCAAACAAGTGTGCTGGCACCTGGGCTGGGAGGCGGGCCGAAATTCGTGTGAGCCGAAAACTTGCCCGAAGACATGTGGGAATCAAACTTGGCTGCAAGAAGCCCTTCGACTCAAGCCAGACGAATTACGCTTTGGCCCTCACAAGTGGATCGCTGAGTGGATGGTTCGCAGTCAAGAATTTCACACCTTCTTGTTTGATTACTCTGTTACCGAGGACGTGCTACGCTGCCTTCCGCCGAAGGGCTTGAGGATCGAGAATTTGTCCAGACTTGCGCGTCATGTCTACAGACGGGACGACCCAATCGAGTCTGCCAACAATGCCGAGTCGGATCACCTCTTTAGACCCGTCATCAACATCTCGAACCATGCCATGCTCGCCGGGTACAACGCACCCTACTGGGTTCAGCCTTACGCCACGGCTGCCAAAGCGTCCGACTGCGCGGTGGCTTCTGCGTTGGGACTCCAGGTCGTAAAGCGCTGATGATCAGGGGAGCAAGCGTGAGGAAGTGTCGTGGATGAGGTCTGCGCTCAAACACGTGTGCTGGCACCTGGGCTGGGAGGCGGGCCGAAGTTCGTGTGAGCCGAAAACTTGCCCGAAGACATGTGGGAATCAAACCTGGCTGCAAGAAGCCCTTCGACTCAAGCCAGACGAATTACGCTTTGGCCCTCACAAGTGGATCGCTGAGTGGATGGTTCGCAGTCAAGAATTTCACACCTTCTTGTTTGATTACTCTGTTACCGAGGACGTTCTACGCCGCCTTTCGCCGAAGGGCTTGAGGATCGAGAATTTGTCCAGACTTGCGCGTCATGTCTACAAACGGGACGACCCGATCGGGTCTGCCAACAATGCCGAGTCGGATCACCTCTTTAGACCCGTCATTTACCAGCCTTGAACAGATGCCTATCTTTATGATTGAAGTCACCCGATCTCCATGCCGATCTTGAGGATTCCCTCGACTTCTGAGGGCCCATCCAGAAGAGTATTTGAGCTTGGCAATCTTAGGGGTAGAGATAAGATCGAGGCTGGTGACCGTCAACATCTCGGACCACGCCATGCTCGCCGGGTACAACGCACCCTACTGGGTTCAGCCTTACGCCACGGCTGCCAAAGCGTCCGACTGCGCGGTGGCTTCTGCGTTGGGACTCCAGGTCGCAAAGCATTGATGATCAGGGGAGCAAGCAATGGCATACACATGAAAACATCGGAGGCCAATTGGCACTTACACAAGTACAAATTGGCGACGATCCGCGCGGATTTATTGGATCGGCGCCGCTGGCTGTCTCTCGGGAATGTCTGGGGCGTGCTCAGGTTTCAAGCTTCTTAACCTGGGGCTGACCCGCACACTCGCGGGATATAATACTTACGGTTTCAGTGTGATGGGCCATGTTACTCAATTCTACTCGCCCATTGCAGAAGCTTACCGTCTCGAGAGAGAGAAGTTTTTCAGTCCTTGGTCATTGCTCCCCATAGTGTTCTCTCCTGTTCTCTGTTCATACTGTACTCGCCTGGCGTACACTCTGCGCCCACTGCAGAAGCGTACCGTCTCGAGAGAGAGAAGTTTTTTCAGTCCTTGGTCATTGCTCCCCGTAGTGCTGTCTCCTGTTCTCTATTGAAGTCTGCCAAGGAGTCTGGTCTCCCTGTTGAGGCGAGGTCGCTGGTGTGCATGGCGCAGGCTGCTCAGTACAGGTGCGCTTTCTATACGAAAGCCTTCTTCGATATGGGTCATCTCCTCGACACGATCGGGGCGTTTGACGAGGCGTGAGTCACTCACGAAACCGACAAATACACGGGGACGGGAAGCTGCTGGGAGCGAAGGTCGCAGGCGGGCCAGGGAGCAACCGTCGCAGATTTGTCCCCTCGGTCTGGGTCACGGGCTGCGGCTCGCAGGCCAGGAGGGATATTGCTCCACAGCAGTGGAAGCGTGTGGGATGCACGGGGACTGGGCGTCCGAGCGATGGCAAGCCTCTGCGGCGCGGCCGCCGGGCTTTCTACATGCTGCTTTCTGCACTTCTCTGGCGCGCCCGCGAAGTCTTTTCCCATTCTGAGCGGCCCTTGCTTTCCCCGTCCTTCTCTCTCTTCCCGCATCCCGGCGTGCCCCCGTTTGTTTCCCGCGCGTCCCGCTCGATCCGCCACCAGCCTCGGCCCGCTCGCGCCCACTGACGCAGAACAAGTTTCAGAGGGCCACGAGCAGCGCAAAAAAAAAAAGCACAAATCGTGCCATTCCGATGGGAAAACGTATATTTTTCGCATGTTCGCCTCTTGGGCTTTCGCCGCGTCCAAGACGGCTCAAGAGGCGCCCAAGACGGTCTACGAGGCCTCCGGGAGCGCTCCAAGGCTGCGCACGAGTGGCCCAGGACGGCCCCAAGACGGCCCAAGAGAGCCCCAAGACGAGTTCGAGAGGGGTCCCAGACGGAGAAAGCCAACCTCGAATTCCGAGCTTCCGGCCCAAGAGGCTCCAGGAGGCGCCAAAATGCCGCCAAGAGGCGCCAAAAGGCTCCCAAAAGCACCCCAAGACGTTCCGAGAGGCACCCCAAGAGAGGTCCAAGAAACAAAAATCGTGCCATTCCTATGGGAAAACGTATATTTTTCGCATGTTCGCATCTTGGGCTTTCACCGCGTCCAAGACGGCCCAAGAGGCCTCCAAGACGGCCTAGGAGGCCTCCGGGAGCGCTCCAAGGCTGCGCACGAGTGGCTCAGGACGGCCCCAAGACGGCCCAAGAGAACCCCAAGACGACTTCGAGAGGGGTCCCAGAAGGAGAAAGCCACTCTCGAATTCCGAGCTTCCGGCCCAACACATCCCAGGAGGCGCCAAAACGCCGCCCAGAGGCGCCAAAAGGCTTCCAAAATCAGCCCAAGACGTTCCGAGAGGCACCCCAAGAGAGGTCCAAGAAGCAAAAATGGTCCCATTCCTATGGGAAAACGTATACTTTTCGCATGGTCGCCTGTTGGGTTTTCACCGCGTCCAACACGTCCGAAGAGGCTCCCAAGACGGCCTAGGTGGCCCCCAAGAGAGTTCCAAGACGGTTCACGAGGCGCCCAGGACGGCAAAATTGGACTCCAAAATGGCCTAAGAGAGCCCCAAGGCGTGCCCGAGAGGGGTCCCAGAGGGAGAAAGCCACTGTAGAATTCCGAGCTTTCGGCCCCAAGAGGCTCCAGGAGGCGCCAAGAGAGCTCCAAGAAGCCCCCACGAGAGACCCAGGACGCCCCAAGAGGCTCCAAAGGCGGCCCAAGAGAGCCCCAAGATGGGCCCGAGAGGGGTTCCACGCAAGTTGTTATTGTATCGCTCGGGAAAGGACGAGGATGAGGAGGAAGACGAGGAGGAGGAGGAGGAGGAGGAGCAGGAGGAGGACGAGGAGGAGGAGAGGAGGAGGAGGAGGAGGAGGAAGATTCCTGGGTCTGTGACTCGACAGAACCTAAGCGCGCGCGAAGCGCGCGCGTGGTTCTAGTATATATATATATATATATATGTGTCCCTTCATACAGAAGCGTTTTGGCTCTCGGGTGGGTGGTCAATGCTACACCAGAAGGGCTGACCAATATCGCCCATGAGCAAACCCACTGTTGCTATTATTGCTGCGACCGGCCAGACAGGGAAATGGGCGCTCAAAGGCGCTCTGCAGCGGGAATACCCAGTAAGGGTGCTGGTGCGCTCCACGGATAAGCTCAAGAAGGTGCTGCAGGATCTGCTGCCAGAGAAGACGGAGGAGGCCGTGAGCGAGATGCTAGAGAAGGACATCACCGTAGTGGAGTCCCCCGCGCTCGAGCAGACCAAGCTGGTGGAGCTGTTCACCGGCGCCGACGTCGCGATGAGCTTCTTGGGCATGGGACCCGACAAGCAGCCGATCGTGGCGTCGGGGGCGAGGAAGATCGTGGACGCCCTCAGGAGCATGGACAGCCCCCCGAAGTACCTTCACATACGCGACGCAGAAAAAGGGTTTCGATTGCGCGGACATTCGCTCGTAAGCTGCCCGCGTGAGCTCGCGCGTAAGCGCCCTCATCTCCAATCTGGCGTGCCGCGCTGGCGGTCCGCGTAGGCCACGTCCTCTTGTGCAAGACCCGTTTTTGATCGTCGCACACATGTCGAGCATCTCGCTCAACGACGGCGCAAAGCACGGGCAGAAAGCCTGGGGCTGCTGCGTGGTGGGGCTAGCGCTCAAGGTGTTCCTGAAGGCGTGCTTCGACGACCTGCGAGCGGGCGAGGACGTGATCGTCGCCGCCCAGGACGAACAGCAGTCCGCGGGTTACGCGGGGAAGCGCCTGAGTCTGACAATGATCCGAGCGACGATCCTCGCAGACAATCAGGGGAGGAAAAGGTACTGATACTGCTCCCCTTGCCTCGATTTCGCCTGTTTTGCCCTCACGGGAGGTCCTCGTCGCCACGGCCAGGTTCGGTACCTTTGGCTTCCCCAGACAAGAAAGATTACCTCAAGGACTTCACAGCGGGCGACAAAAGCTACAAGCTTGTCAAGGTGGGCGGCGAGAAAACGAGCGGGAAGCTCTCCTTCCAGATCGACCGGCAGCATGTCGCAGAGGCGTTTTTGGACGTTGCCAGGGACTTCGACTACGACGGCGAGAACGTGAGCGTCTTCGAGAAGTAGCCTCCGCTGCAAAGCGGCAGTGCGCCCGCACAGCGCGCGATATAGTCGGGGCGAGGGGCTCGGTGTTCCTTGATTGTTTTACAGTCTGCCTTAGGTCTTCCATGGAACATCGAAGTTCAACTTATGGGAAAAAGGGGCCTCGTTCCTTATTTCGGAGGGCACCAACTATACACCAACACCGATCCTGGCCCAGGATCACCCTGGGCCCAGGATCGGTGTATATGCCTTCTTGCGCAAGGCAGGAGGGCGTATACACCGATCCTGTGCCCAGGGTGATCCTGGCCAGGATCGGTGTTGGTGTATAGTTGGTGCCTCCCTATTGTTTAAGGCTCCTTCGGCCCACGCCCCGACAGCATGCAGAGCAACCCGCGGAGCTCCAACGTGGGCTTCTCGGGTCGGCGCGCGGCGCCCCGCCCCCCACCCGACGGCGCCGTCGGCGCCGCCGGCGCCGGCGGCGCCGAGGGGTCCTCCTCCCCCTCCTCCCTCCTCCTCCCTCCTCCTCCTCCTCCTCCCTCCTCCTCCTCCTCCTCCTCCCCCTCCTCCTCCTCCTCCTCCTCCTCCTCCTCCTCCTCCTCCTCCTCTCCCCTCCTCCTCCTCCTCCTCCTCCTCCTCCTCCCCCCTCCCCCTCCTCCCCTCCTCCTCCTCCCCCTCCTCTGTGCGCGCGGGGGCCCGGTGCCCACCCGAGGAGGCCGCGCGGCCCTCGGGGGCGGAAAAGAGGGGGGTAATGACTAGGGGGGGGTGGATATCATGGCGGGGGCCATGATATCATGGCGGGGGTCATGATATCATGGCGGGGGTCATGATATCATGGCGGGGGCCACCTGGGGGGGTGGATATCATGGCGGGGATGGATATCATGGCGGGGGTAATGACTAGGGGGGGGGGGATATTTCCCCAGATCTCATGGCGCCTCTTCTTCTCTCATTGCGTCCCTGGTCCCCCCGCTGGGGCGCGCACGTGCCGCCGGTCATGATCTGCCCCCCCCCCCCCCCCCCTCTTGGACACCCCCCTCCTGGCCGCTCTCGAGGCCCCCCGGCGCTCCGCGCCTCGGCATCGCTCGGGCGTGCGCACGTCCTCCTTCGCAGGCCAGCCACAAGCTGGGGGAGCTGTGGTCCTCACCCCCCCTGGGGGGCCCATCGATTCCCATCGATTTCGACATCCCCCTCGAGAGATCGTCGATGCGATGGGTTCCCCCAGGGGGGTACGGGCCACAGCTCCCCCAGGTTGTGGCTGGTCGGCTTCGGCGAAGACAATCGAGGAGGATCCTGGATCACCTGGCGGAGAAGCCACGCGCGAGACGGAAGCCATGCACGGGGAACGGGCGCCGGAGCGATGGCGAGGTGCAGAGGCAGCCTTCCTGTTGCCTTCTGGGCGCAGGCGCACCACTATGATCTCGGCGCGCGGCCGACGAGCCTTGTCTGCCACAGCCCCGAAGCGGGGGGCACCTTGCAGTCAGGGCTCGTACACGACCGTTCATATTCTCCGACCTTCTGGTTTTCAACACGCAGCCCGTACGTCCAGCCTCGAGGCACACGCCGGAACGGTCTGGACGGCCTACGCCTGCATCGACAGAGTTGTAGTACACGCCAATGCGCTTTGCACCCTGCGTTGTGATGCAATCTTTCTGCCTATGCGCTGTTCAGCGCCTGGCTCTGTCACGCAGCCTTGGACGTTCTCGGGGGGCCTCCCTGGAAGTTCTGGGGGGCACCCTGGGCCAGAGAGGCACCCTGGGCCACGCCCGCCTCTGACCGCCCGGGGGGGCCACTGCCTCCGCGCGCCACGACGGGCCCTGAGCTCAAGTCGGGCGTGTCCCTCTACAGGAGGAGCATCCAGAAAACATAAAAACATGAATTTGCCTGGGGACGGTTTTGCATTGCACTGCGTTGCATTTTTGCATATGCATTTGCATTACGGTTTAGCCTTTCTTCGTTAATACGAATATCGTTAGCCGATATTACCTGGAGGTCGTTTTGCATTACGGTTTTGCATTGCATTCGAATTCTTGTGTTCATTTGCATGTTTGCATATGTTATGACTCATCGTGAATTTTCGTCGAGGGGAACGAAGAGTGACACAAACAGAACAACTCGGAGGTCCGCGCGGATTTCTCGGATCGGCGCTGGGACTCTCCTCCCTGACGCGCGGAGCGCGCCGCGCCAGGGGCGCCTCCGGGGGGCCCCATCGCCGATCCGAGAAATCCGCGCGGACCTCGTTCCCCTGCAGGCGGATTTTGGACGAAAAATAAGCATAGTCAAAGAAAGCAGTAAGAAAACAATCGAAAAATAATTGTGGAAGACTCCGACGCGAGAAGCCCGCGCGGACCTCCGAGCTTTTATGTTTGTTGTCGCTCTTTGCTCCCCCCAGGTTTGTCGTCCAACACCCGCCTGCAGGAGGGCGCGCCCGACCTCCGCGCGGCCGGGGCCGAGCTCCCCGGCGGAGCGCGCGGGGCTTTGCGGCGCCCCGCGCCGCTCCCGCGTGGGGGGGGGGGGGAGGGGTGCGGGCCTCGCCCCGCGGCGGGCCCGCGGGGCCGCCGCGGGGGCGGGCCGAGGGCCGGCCAAGGCGCGCGCGGGCGGCGCGGGCCAGCCAGGCCCCCGCGCGCTGTGAGCAGGATCGCGACGGGAGGTGTTTCGCTGTTTCCCTACCTGGGCTCTGCCTAGAAGGGTTCTTACTCGCTCAGCTGAGAGGGCCGGGCAGTGCAACTCGCCCCGGGCGGTTCCCCCGGCATCCGCTCCGCGGTTCCCCCAGCGACGTTCCCTTCGCTTAGCGTTGCTTATCTCATCTTAGCTTAGCTTATTTCATCTTAGCTTAGCTTAGCTTCATATAGATGTTGCTTTCCTAGATCCTCCAACTCCTAGGTAGGGTCGCGCTGGGATAATTTCGGGCTCTGGGGGCCCTTGCTGGGCCTCGGGACCGTCAAAACACGACGGGGGATGAAAAGCTGGTCCCCGGGAAGGGGTCCGGAGCTCTGCCGGGCTGGGCGAAAGGGGGGGATTGGGAAAGGGGGGGTTACGAAATTTGCTGCATGCAGCTGGTTTCGGCCTCACCGAGGGGCCCATTCCTCGATACATAGCCGCCTCCGGCGCCGGGAGGCGCCGGGAAAATCAGCTACGTGAGCTGATTTTCACCCCCCCCCTTTGCTATCCCCCCCTTTTGCCCGACCCGACTCTGGGGGTCGACGTCGTGTGAGAAACACGGCGTCGGGGGTCTGGGAAGGGCGGGTTCGATGGTGCCCGCGCCGTGCACGCTTATTATCAAGCAGTGGCGGAGCGTGCCTGTAGGCCTACCAGACACTGTTCTGTTCCAAGAACCTTTCGTGGTTTCCACGACACGTTCTTAGAACATTTCTGGTTGAGACCGTCTTGTTTTAAAACACCGGGTTAATGTTCTAAGAATTGTTGTGTTATTCGAACTTTTTGGGGTTCTAACAACATTTTGCGGTAAGACTATAGGAATGCCGGGACGGTCGGTCCCTGCTCAATTTACAGTGGGGACGCGCATCGAGAGGACTGTTTGCAGCAGTGCGTCCTGTGGGGGAGGCTCCACCTGCTCGAAACGGGCGCCCAAAACAGCAAAGATCTACTCCATGGGGGAGGAGGAGGGGGGGGCGAGGGAGCGGAACGAGATCCTGGCGTCTAGAGCTGTTTGGGCCCTTCGCATTTTTGCCCCCCAGGACCCTCACTGGTCGATCCATCTCTCGACAAGTGACGCAGATAGACGGGGTTCAGGGCTCCGGGCGCGATTGTTTCCATGCTGCAAGTGAGAGTTTGAGCGTGCGTAAAACGTAAGGTTTCAGGGAGTAAGTGCCTGGTGAGGGGGAAGGGTCTCCTCCTGCTTTCTGTCCCTTTCCCCCTCTCCGCGGCCCCTTTGGGGCTCAAGTTTCTCCTCGGGCCCTTGAGGGGGCGACTCGCGCGGGGGAGCGCGACCCGCCCCGCGGACCAGGGTCCGCACAGGGGCCGAGAGCCATGTGGAGGTGAGGCGCGAGGAGTGGCGGTGCGCCAGCCCAGTGCACACGAGGCGCTGGCAGTCGGAGGCGGCGCAGCAGCTCCCACATGATGGCGTTGCTGCCCATGCTCATCGGGGCCGTGGCAGCTGTCGAGATCGGCCGCAGGTGGCGGGCGCAGCCGGCGACGCCGGCCTTGCCCCCGGCGGCCCGCACCGCGGACAGGTCGCTGCCCGCGGAGGCCGAGCTGGCCAACGGAGGGGCGTACGCGCCTCTGCTGCGGGCGCTGGAGGAGGACCAGCGGCGCCGTGGCACGGCGGCGGCAATTGAGTTGCCGCAGCGCCAGCCCCCCCCCCCCAGCTGGGCCCGCACCCGCTGCCGGAAGGGGAGAGGAGGGCCCGCGGGGCCAGCGGCAGTCCCGCCCTCGGGAGGCAAGGGGCGCCAGCAGCCGTCGATGGCGTCGGCATCGGCCCAGCCACCCGTGGAGGCACCGCCATCAGCCGCCGGCGACGGAGGTGAGGAGGGCCCACGGCGCCGCGGGAGCGGGATGTGGAGCTGGTTCGCGGGTCGTCGGCGGGACCCCCCGCTGCGGCGAAGTCCTGAGAGCGCTGGCGGCTCGGAGGAGGCGGAGGAGGAGATGCGAGGCTGGTTCAGCTTCGGGGGAGTCAAGTTCGGAGTGAGCTGGCTCGGAGGTTGGATCACTGACCTGCCGCCGACGGAGATACAGTGGTCGGATCTGATGTGGGGCGGAGGTGGCCTCGTTGGGAGCGGGCTCAACACGGTGGGTTACGCGGCGTTCGGCACGGGTTGGCCCTTGCTGTGCTGGACCACCCTCGCAGGGTTGATCGTGGCGCTTGTCATCGGCTTGGGGTATTCACTCCATCGCCTCGGCAGTCGACGTGCTGGTCTGCGCACCCCTCCGCTGCCTGGGTCGGACGCTGGGATTGTGCTGCCCGACAGCGAAGCCCCAGGTCACGGCCGCTGAGGAAGGAGTGGTCCCAGAGCTGAGAGGACCAGCCACCGCCATTGCCGTGGAGGACGAGTTCTACGCCCAGCTCCGCGCAAAAGGGGCCGACAAGGTGCCACATCACCTGATCATCAAGGTGGGCGACACCGCCGCGAGGCTGGAGAGGCCACCTTTGAATACTGGGATTAAGTATAAGAAGGCAGGAGTGGCATGGCCGTACCGCGAAGTGCTGGCTACCACGTCAAGGCGACTGCGCGACCTGCTGGAGGATTCCCAGGACAAGGTGGTGCACCTGTGCAGAGACACGCCCTGCACGGACGAAGGCAACTACGCGGTGCATGCCCCGGCGTGCGGGTGCGTGACAGCTGAGACGGACACCAACATGGAGGCGCTGGTGGAGGCGGCGCCGAAGCTTTGTTGGGCCGGCCGGGCAGTGGGGGCAGCGGCTGCATCGTGTGGGCGGGGTTGTGCCGCGTTGGGGCTCAAGGGGTGTGCCAGGCTCTGCGGGTCCCTCAAGCGCTGCGGCCAGAGGGGTTGCCAGCGCGGCCGGCGAAGCAGAGCAGACATCCCCGCCGCCCTGATGAAAGACCCGAACTCGGAGACGGAGTCGGAGCCGGAGCACCAGCGCTGTATGGCCAACGAGGTGCTGTACCAGGAGGGTGGCACGATATTCCAGCTGTGCAAGGAGAAGTGTCGAGATCGAGCCCGAGGTGCCCCAGTCCGCCTGGTCAAGGAGGATGGCGAGAAGTCGAACGTCAAGGGGGCGGAGAAGGTGGTCAACCTGTGCTGGCAGCACACGAACGCCTACGAGCGCGAGAGAGGAGTGAAGAAGTGTGCGCACCTCGGCTGCCATACGTTGGGTCGAGTTCTGAACCGTGGGGTGCAGACGTGTTTGGAGCACGACCTGGCGAATGAGGAGACCGCACGACTTGTCGCCGTCGCCGAGGGACCGGCGCCCGTGGTGGCCGGAATGGCATCCGAGCAGCCCACGCGTTACAGGTCGAGGTCGCCTACGCCGACGGCTGGGAGACCACTCCTACCCTTGGTGTCGGCCAGTGGGGCATGGCTAACGGCCCTGGTGCGAGGCCCACGGGGTACGGAGATGGCGAAGAAGTACTATTGCTACGGGTGCCAGCTGGCGGTCGAGGAGGAGGGCTGGACTACGCATCGTATCCCAGGGCTCGAGGCCCAGGCGACTGTCCCATCCAACCTGGGGCCGGTGATCGACGACCGGGTGCGTGCCGAGGCTGCCACCGCTGGAGCGCCCGCCATCATCGTGCGGACGGCGAACCAGATACCCGACGGAATGGACGAGTATGGCCAGACAGCTAGCCCGGTGGCTCAGGCGCTGGCGCGGGGCGCGACGGGGAGGGAGGACCATCCCCTGTGCATTCTGACGCGGGGGATCGAGGAGGCAGGAGGGCGAGACGAAGGACGCGCTCGGAGGCACCCGCCCCCGACTTCCCCGACGTACCCAACGCAGCCACCGTGGGTGGACACGATAACTCGAGGAGAGCTGGGGGGCCTACTGAATGGGGCGGCCCGGGAGCGCTGGCGTCGACGAGGGGAGGCGGCCTTGGCGCTGGAGTTCCTGAAGGCAAGGGCCAGCGGAGAGGATCACCCGCTGGACGTGGCAGAGAGATATCAGCACTCCGAGGGTTTCGATGATCTGGGAGAGGCGTGCGACGCGATCGTTGAGTCGCTCGAAGCCTTGGAGAGGGACCGCGGCTCCTTCATGACGGACGACGAGGTGGAGAACCTGCAGCGGCTAGCTGAGGTGCTGAGAGAGAGGCGCGGCCTGAGCCAGGCACATGAGGAGGAGGTGGCGGGAGGAGCATGGCGGGAGGGCCTGGCACGGCCGGTCCCTGGCCCTGCGCGGCCGCCCACGCCTCCCATGGCCCGCCCATCGGCGGTGGAGATGCCACCCGGC